GCTTTCTTCTGCAGTTTTCCTCAGTGCTGTCTGTGCCATTGCTGGAGCCGGTTTATCACCAAAGGTGAGTACAGTTTTGACATACACGTCTGGTTCGCGGGAGGTTTCGAGGTTTCTCCATAAGAAACGATGAACCTGTTGATCTGGTTCGGGTATTAAGATGCGATGGTACATCTTCGATATATCTCCTACCAGAGCGACTTCTCTTTCTCTAAAACGCAGGACAACGCCAAATAGGTTGTTCAGCAGGTCTGGACCCTTCATCCAATAGTCATTCAATTTATGACCTTGGAACACGGAGGACGAATTAAAAACAATACGAACGGGCGTGCTTTTCTTTTCTGGTCTGACTACTGCGTGGTGCGGTATGTAGTGTACAGGGCCCTTGTAATTCTTCACCTCGTCTTCTGATAACTTCCTGCAGAAATTCATATTCACCATTTCGGTCATCTGCTCGTCATATGCCTTGGCTTGATCCGGGTTCGACTTTAGGCGACGTTCTGTTGCTTCTAGCCGTTTCAGCGCTAACGATCTGTTATCAGGAAGAAGATTCGGATCCCTCTTCCAAGGATATGGGATCATCCACTGCTGTCCAATTTTCTGGCAAGATTTGCTTATGACTTCGGCTTCTTCTCTTTCCACTTGGCTTAACTTGTCGGCTTCACAGACGCATGGCCTTACCTCGACCCCCATGGACTCTGTTTTCCAGAAATCAGATAGGTCTACGGGTGTAGCGTACTTGACAAACAGTATGCGACTCGCTGGTTGAACGTTTCCTGATGAGCCTCCAAACACCACCCATCCCAGTGGGGTTTGTCTTGCTACAAGCTCTCCTGCTTGTCTGGTTTGGCCTGTATGCATGTTAGCATGGTCAATGCCTATGAGGATATCAATCGGTCCCCTTCCACGTCTGATCTTCTCGCTTGACAGTCCCAGGAGTTCGGTTATCTGTGTAATTGGAGCTGGGGCAACGTCATCACTGATGTTTGGGATTCCAATGGCAGTTATCGAATACTTCTTGTGATCATCTCCAGAACTGACAGGTACTCGGTATTCCTTCGTTCTTATGGTTTCCTCTTCTCCACCAACTTTTGCTATGGTCACAGAGGTGTCCCTTCCTTTGAGTCCAAGTAACTCCGCAATGTCGGACCGGATAAGGCTTACTTGAGCGCCAGTATCGAGGAGGATATTTCCTTTCTTGTGGATTCCGTTCTGACCGTGAATGATTGCTGACATAACTGGAAGAAGAGCCCCCTTACCGGCCGCGACAGCCGCTACTCCTAATCTGATCGCGTTGCTTTTGTGTAGGAGTGGATGGTGATAATGTTCGCATTGTTTTCCGTTTTCCTGTTTTGTGCAACGCTGTCTTCGAGTGCAGTTTTCCATTCTGTGTTCTCTTCCGGCCCTTTTCAGGCACCCGAAGCACACGTGGTTCTCTTTGGCTATCTTGAGTCGCTCGTCGACACTGAGAGCAGCGAACTTCTGACATTGGTCTGGCCAATGGGCTGAGTTTCGACACATCCAACATTTGTGCCATGTTGCGTTACCTTTACTGCTGTCATCTTTCAAGAAATGATTAACTGAACGGGTGCTTGAACCGGTTCTCAATGGCGCTGTTGCACGCATGCGTGACTTCATCTCCACTGTCATCCAGTCTATGAGTCCTTGTAATGTCGCCTTCTTTCCGTCTCGTTCCAGTTCTCTAGACCACACTTTCCGATCGTCAGCGCACATTTTTTGTTCAATAATGGACAACATGTGGCTGTTATCTATTTCGCTGGGAATGCCCACTTCCTTTAGAGTGTTAAAACACCGCCTAACTAAGTGTGCTAGATCACAAAATCTAGCATCTTCTCCGTCTTGCAGCGCGCGGAACTTAACAATATCTTGTGTTATGGTGTCCGAGACGAATCGCGGATCGCCGTAAATGGAATCCAAATATTCCCAAGCGGCATCATAATCTGTGCCAATCCCTTTAATTAAGTCCAGGGGCTTTCCGTGGAGACATGTACGTAAAAACGTGATTGAATCTCGTTTGGTGTACCGGGCTTCAATTGCGTGTTTGAAATCTGCTTTAAAAATCGCATACTCTCTCACGTCTCCAGCGAACTTTGGCAATTTTGGCTTTTCCATCTTAAAACCGCAGGCGTTATTTGAAGTACTGGGATCATTAACGAGATCTGGAACTTGTACATTTCCATTCAAACTATTATTACCATTACTTAGGGGTGGTTGTGAGGTTTCCTGTCCAGCATTAACAGTAGGGATCTGTTCATTATCATTAAAGGTGGGACCGGAAACCACATCCGTTCCAGATTGCATACTTGAAATTCCGCTGGTGTTTGGTTCATTACTCGCAGTTTTCTCAGTATTTGTACCATTTTCCAACGTTTGTTGCTCTTGGCTAACTAAACTTTCAAAATACATCTTAGCTCGCATAACATAGTTCATGAAGGAACCCTGACATTCTTCCATCCAAATTTCAGCTTCTTCAAACTTCGTATCATCATCTATGAGTTTCGTGTAGCCTTCATGCTTGACTACCAGGTCATTGTACGCTTTCTCGACTTTATCTAAGGCTTCTCTTACCTCTGATCCTGGTCTTTTAACTTCAATTACGCTAGTTAACCAGTTACCACATCTTGTGAGGGCTGCCTTTGCGTTCCTCCGGGTTTTCTTCGCTTCTTTCAACTCTTCTTCGGCCATTATCGGGCTACGTGTCTACTTTCCACTCAGGTCAAAGCACGTGGGAACCATCAACCATCTATCCCTCAGTCCAACGTGTCAGCAATAGAAATCGAATGTTTGGTCCAGGGGAAAA